TTTCAAAAGTTTTATTGACATTTACAAAAAAAGACTTCTAAAGTTGATTTTTATTGATTTTTCTTTTTATTTCATGAAAAACATCAGAAAGAAGGGAACCATTTTTTTTGAGTTTAAAAACTATTTTCTCTTTTTTTTTTTTTTGAATTTTCTAAAGAAAGATTTTTAATGAATGAACTAAAAGAAACTATTTTTGGATTTTTTTGAAAATTGGGGTCGGAACCGATGAGGTTTGCCTACGTATCTCACATCCGGTGAGAATCAGACACGCGTAGTTCGGGCAGATTTGCCAAAATCAAAACTATTTTGAAACCACATTTTTCTTTCTATGTTTTTCTTGCAAATATTTTTTCTCTTTTCCATTTTTCATTTTTCAAAAATCCGGCAGCATTTCGGCACTACTTGGACATTGGTTTTTCTAATATAGGTAATTAACTCTCCACACTGCTATTTTCTCTTTTTCTCTCTTTTTTCAATATTGCCCAGATATTCAAAGCCGGTCAGCATGCGAGTCGAAAACAGATAAATGCACAAATAGGATGCATCAGGACGGTCCATTATTACGGGTACACCTGTCCTAGACGGACCCAACCCCTGTGTTGAGTCCCCTAAGTCAAAATGCACGTGATGCACATAAACGTTCCTACTAGGGATCCGGCATGGAGTCGAGTTATTCTAAGTTCAAAACCTGGGTATAGGTTCTAGACTGTGTACCCGAGCGGACAACTCGAGTCGAGGAGGGGGCTACGTACCGGGGACCCGCGGGATCGTCCGGCTTAGTAACTTGTCCGGCCTCTTTTTTATTTCAAGGTATGACACTAACAGAACAGGGAGTCTCAGCTAGTAAGCACATCCCCGGAGGTGAGGAGAGAAGGGTTTCGTAACAATTTTATATATACAATTCAGACGATATCAAAGCGGTAAAGCATTTAGCACATATAGCATGGAACATGTAGAAAAATCAGATAAAGCCAAATATAACAATTATACTAAGCTCGAATTCTTGAACCCTGAATCGAAATCCTGGGTTCGTGTCCCCAGCAGAGTCGCCAGAGCTGTCACACCTCCTTTTTTACACACCTACCCCGAAGGATAGTATATAAGGGAGTTTTTCCATTTAAAGTGACATTATTCGAAATGGGATTATTTATTTATTTCAGAGTCGCCACTTGGGATAAGATTGGCTTTTGGTGTCCCAAGTCACCGGTTTAATTTTGAATCCCAAATCGAGGAAAAATTTCGACTTCCCAATTGGAGTCTGCGAACCAGAAATTCTGAATAAGGAATTCTGTTGACCCGAGGGAAGGTGTTAGGCACCCCCGGATCCCGTGGTTCTAGCACGGTCGCTTAAATTATTATAGTTGGCTAAAAAATCTGATTTTTATACATGTTTTAACTTATGTGCTTTTTAACTTTAAACCGCTTTTATTATTGTTTTTTAAGAGAATTGCAACGTCGTGAAAACGCGTCTCAAACCACGTCACATAAATGCACCCGCGGTTTTTGAAACATTTTGACTTCGTTGGGATTTGGAGTTGGGTCACATAAATGTGCACCCGTATTTAGGAAGGTAGAATTATTAAAAGNACAATCAACAAATGTATCAACAGGCACGATTTGGAACTTAACAAAACAATTCAAGTCCAGGAGCACCCTAGCAATCGAGATACAGTAAAAATGGACTTGATTGAACCTTAATTTGAATCCAAGCACACACAGTCAACGCAATCTCACAACTTCAACTACCAAATGCTGAATTTAGAGAGATCAAATTGACTACTAGTTTCCAATTAGATTAACAGTGCCAATGGGACAACAATTTTTGGTTTTTTTTATAGATTTTCTACTGCTTTTGGTTTTTGAATGTTTGAATTTCAAAAATCAGATTTGGAGAATGTAGAAGGAGTTTTGGAGGGATTTTTAGAGGCTGAAACTTCTGGGAATTTTCAAGGGCTTCCAACCTTCTTCTGCAAGGCAAATGAATGCCTATTTATAGGCAAACTTAGGGTATAATTTCAGGTTTTCATTTTACTCTTTAGTCCCTATTTTATTTCTATTTTTACCCCTTATTTTCTGACTTGTTACACAAGTAACTACACCTATTTTTTGAATTTTCAGTTCAAAACCCCTTCTAGAAAGTCCTAGGGGGTTCTATTCTGATTTTTCATGATTGAAATCCCTAAACTACCCCTACCTCATTTCAATATTTACTAAATCTGATTAAACTACCATTTCCCATGCCTATACTACCCCTGAAACCCTCTGAAATTACTACCCACAATTAACTGACCCATACCCCTTTAACCATGGTTAGCAACCATAATTAATCAACCAAATTTAACTAGTATACTAACAATCAGATTACTAGATTAAGCTAAACTTCAGTTATTCCAAACATTGATCACACTGACAATCCTAACGACTCTGTTATTCAAAATACTGATTAAACAAGGCTACTTAAAAACAAAAATTAAATCTATACTAGCAGGAACAAAGCTGAATTGAACAAAACACATATTACAACCAGACGAATATCCTATTACTATCAGAAGAGAACAAACACAGAGAAACCAATTATTAACAATTAATCACTTGAATTAATTTACTCTCATTTAAAAGTAAAGCAAAAATCATGTCAGGATTGAACTGAACTAAAGATTAAAACAGGAATTGATGCGAGACTAATTGTCACCAAGAACAGAGTCGAATCGAACACTCATGAGACGAAGAAATAACAAAACTACGAGTAGAACTTACTGATTAGAACAGCCCGAATGCCTACTCGAATTAGGGTTTGTAGGATTCTGCCGGCTTATTACTTCAAACAAATAAACAACCTCGGCGAGATTTGAGCACCATCAACACTGGATTCACCATAGGAGGGAGGAGGAGACCACGTGGAATGAATCTGAAGCCGATTGGGTGAACTAAGGTTTTGAGGGGAATCTTCGATTTGAAATTCGAAGACTCCGACGAGGATTTTGAAAAAAAGGTCTAAGGATTTAAGTAAAGGAGGGTGAGGAGGTTATATGGTGTCAATTTGGGCCGGTTTGGACAAGGTTGTATTTTGGCCGGAAATTTCGATCTAATATTCGAAACGATTGGTTATGATTCGAGGGGGATGGTTATGGGGGTTGGAAAGAGGAGGGGAGGATGAGTTTGTGGTGAAATTTTGGGGCCATTTGGAGCTTCGCCGCCGGCGACGGCGATTTCCGGCCGGCGGCGGACGGCGGAGGGACGACGGAGTTAGGGGTTTTCCGGTGAGGTCTGAGAGAGATGAAGGGTAGGGGGTCCTGAGGGGGGTAGGGGTTGTTTGGACATATTTATATTAGGTGATGTAGGCTTCAGGACCGTTGGATTAGATTAACCTCGACGGTCCTGATTGATTTGGCCTAAAACGACGCCGTTTGATTTATTTAGGGGCTGGACCGGGTTGGGGGTTTGGGTTTGGATCAGGTTGAACGGTATCAGGGGTTGGGCTGGTATGGGGCCTGTTTGGACGGGTTCAGGGGTGTTCATTGTTTGGGCCTGGGTGATTTGGCCCAATTCTTGGCAGTCAGTTCCTTTCTTTATTCTTTTAATTGTTTTCTTGTATTTTATTTACTTGCTTTTGTATTTTATTTTTTGTATTTTTGTATTTATTTATTTTTTCTGATTTTATAAAATGCTAAAACAAAACAAAGACCTAATTGAACTATTTAACTCCTAAAATTACTTAAAACTCTATTTAAAGATAAATGCAACGATTAACAATTAAAAGGGCAAAGAAACTATTTTTGCAATTTTCTTTAAATTTTGTTCTAAAACTAATTAATCCTAAAATTGTGAAATTAAATCCCTAAATGCAAATGCATATTTTTTTGTATTTTTATATGAATAAAAATGCAACCGATTAATACAAAGATTTAACAAAAATTCACAAAAATTGTAAAGTAATAAAGAAATCAATTATTTAAAATTTTTGGAATAATTTACTTAGGGCAAAAATCACGTGCTCACAGTGTTAACGATTTTAATTGTAAAGTAAAAGGACGGAAAAACTCCAATAGCCGATTTGGAACTTGAAATGATGTTTACTCCATTCATCTAATTCATCATCAAAACAAATAAATGGTAAGATGCAGTAATAATAAGTAATCCTTTAAATATGAGATATGATCATTTGTTGTTATTTAACAATTAAATTTTTGACAATTTCAGAAACGATAAGATTACAAGCTAAAGTTAATTAAAGAAATACGTATACTCAATGCAGTAAGCTATTAAATTACGCCATGTATATAGATAGTTTTACGAATAATTGCTCGTGTACAAGAAAATGCACATGGATTGTTATTTTGTCATGGGAGAGTTGTAGTAAATAACCTAACAGAAATGGAATTCCTCTAAGACATGTGAACTGATTTCTCATCTTCATTGTCATAACATAAAGAATGAAAATAAAGACTTTCATCTTTCGAGATATGGATAGTTGAAAACTAAAGTTTTGTGCAAGATGATACATGTTGTAATTTTATGAAAAAATAAATAAATTTACTCTCGTTTGATGATATAAATATTGTAATTTATGAAAAATCATGTCACATTTACCTATTGTGGTAATTAATCTGCCCTATATGTAAATATTACAGATCTCACTTTTTCTAGAGAATTATATGTCAATATTTTATTTTTTATTTTTTTGACATTGTTCATATACACAAATTAAACTCTACTATTATTTCAAGTTCTACGATCAAACCCCTCTATAATAGCATCACTATATAACAACACTTCACTATAAAAGCCAAGCTTTTTTCGAAATCAATTTTCAAATTATGTTATAATATATGTCTTCTATAACAATACTTTATTATAACATCTAAAAATATTCTGAACGAACGAGTCTGTTATAAAGAAACTTGGCTGTTTAATTAAGTATTTGTAAAGGCAAAAGTGTTGTATTAGGAAAATTGAGCAGGCAGACGTTTAATTAGTTGGCAGTTATACTTAAGAGAGCGGTACAATTCAAAGGCAAGCAGAGAGCCTGCGTCTCTTTTCCTTAATTTTCTCTCTTTTCTTTCTCTTTCCTCATTCAACCGAATTCAGATCCCAGCAAGTTTAGTTTGTGTGTAAGGAAAACCCAAAAATGGCGGTGGTGTCGCCATTAGCAAAGTACAAGCTCGTGTTTTTGGGAGATCAGTCTGTGGGCAAAACCAGCATTATTACTCGCTTCATGTACGATAAATTCGACACCACTTATCAGGTCTCCTCTTTCTAATTTTCTATATTCTCATCTTTTTTTTCTTCTTCAGCATATATATAATTTAATGTTCAGTTTTTGTACCGTTCTTCATAAGCCATCCATATGTTAATTATAGGGAGAATTTGATGCTTGGATTTTTATTTTTTGAGTTATTTGATTTCCCCTATGATATCATCTTTCTTTTAAAATGAATATATCAAAGTGCAAAATACCCCTGTATGGTTCCTATGATAAAAGACTGAAACTTTAATTAAAATGGTAACAAAAAGCTTTCTAGCTACTGAAGGGAGAACAATATTGAAAACACGCAAAGAGCTTTCTAGCTTTGTATTGAACTTTATGTGCTTTGAGTTTGAAATACAATCACAAATCATTTGATTTACTGGGTTCAAAGTCAATTTTTTGTAAAACCTTATTTAGTGAATTTTTAACACATATACTCTGCATCCACCCTATTTCTGTGAGCTCTTCAATCTGAATGAGAAAGTATATGAGGACTTAAAAGGAAAAAAATATATCTACTCTATTTCTGAATACATGACTTACAGCTGTGCGTAATACTGTCTATTTGAGAAAACTCAATTTTTACAAGTGATCAAATTTTACCATCCTTTATGATGGTTTTGGATGGATACATCGCTTCCAGATTATCAATTAAATCAGTGTTTTCCCCCATATATGCAGGCTACCATTGGTATTGATTTTTTATCAAAGACAATGTACCTTGAAGATCGAACAGTTCGCTTGCAGCTCTGGTAGGCTCTCTCTCTCTCGCTTATTTTTAGGTTTGATTAGCTAGATTGTTTCAACTAATATTATTTATTTTTAGCTTATCAGTAGGGTGTACTCGAAAATGTGAAAGAGAAGCGTGAATTAATTATAGCTAGAATAGTCTCAAAAATCTGTTGTGTTGACGATATTGGGCAAGAGAGTGTTTATTAGCATGAACAATGAATCATCTTATTTTATTTGTTCTAATTAAAGCATTATCACGCAGGGATACTGCTGGTCAAGAGAGATTTAGGAGTCTTATTCCGAGCTACATTAGAGATTCTTCTGTTGCTGTGATTGTATATGATGTTGCCAGTAAGTGATTTCTTGACATGGTACAATATTTCTATTTCGTATGATATATATTCATTGACATTAATCATCATATATATCTGCAGACCGCCAATCATTTCTTAACACTTCAAAGTGGATTGAGGAAGTACGTACTGAACGTGGCAGTGATGTCATTATTGTTCTTGTTGGGAACAAAACTGATCTTGTTGATAAAAGGTAGGGCCGTCTACTTCTTAGACTAAATGTTTCTGCCTCTCACTAGTGTATGGATCTTTTTCATTTATCTTACGCTGAATTAAACAGGCAAGTCTCCACAGAAGAAGGAGATGCTAAGGCTCGTGAATTTGGAGTAATGTATATAGAAACCAGTGCTAAAGCTGGATTCAATATCAAGGTACACACTCTTAAGTGCAATTATCACTGAAGAAATTCTTTTGCCCCTCAGTCAAATTGCATATCAAATCCTGATCTCAGTTAATTCTGCTCAGAATGGCATCATTTCTTTTCATAGTCAAATTGCATGATCCTAAGAATATGAAATTGAAAATTGCAGCCTCTATTCCGAAAGATTGCTGCTGCGTTACCTGGGATGGAGACACTATCATCCACAAAAGGGGAAGATATGGTGGACGTTAATTTGAAGCCTACCACAAATACATCCCAAAATGAGCAGCAAGGGGGAGGTTGTGCATGCTAGATTGTACTTAAAAGAATGTAGACTTTTTCTTCTATGATGTACAACAACCTCCATCAAAGAGGTAGCCGAAGACAGTTTGACCATTGAGGACGCGTTTGTTAGTGTCATCGCATTTTTGTTTAAAACTCCTTGTGTTTATATGTCATGGTTCCTAGCTAGTTCAGGAACCTTTTTTGTTCTAGATAAGTCTCCGTGCTGAATATATATATATATATATATATATATATATATATATATATAATGAATTGCCATATGTATTTTACATTCATTTTAGCTTGTTGTACCACCTATTATTTATTGATACACCACTTAACATATCGGGAGGAGGGGGGAGTTATTTTTCATTTGTCAAAGTTCTCACAACACGCGCACAGACAGTGATGAGGTGCATCTTTTTGAATCTAACGATATATCTTCATAATCAATTCATTCCAGTTTTCTGAGGCATTACTTTGCTGCTGCCATCATAAAACAGTTTCATAGAATCATATTTTCTTCCTCCCCCACAACCCCCCACCCCCTCCTTTGCGCTGAAGCTGGGGATTGGGGTGCAAGTGAGCCCCACTGAGCTGGAAATAAGCTGTTCAAGGTTGATTTGGTTTGTTTATTTGATGAAAATATGTTTTGTTTGAGTTCAGTTCAAGTTGAGCTCGAGTATCTTTGCAATTTCAGTATATTTATGTATCATATTGTTAAATTCATTGTTATGTAATGATGAACAGTATTTTTTTTTTCATCTTGCCCTTAGTATAATTAAATTTTTATACTTTACCCCTTTTTTTTTAATTAATTACTGTACCTCATACACTACTTTTGTTTGTAATATTATACACTTATTCTTCAAGTTGTTCGTGTGAATTATGAAACGATAGAAAATGATACCATCAACCCAAACATTGTATTTATTAAAACAATACAGTACAATATAATAAAATACAATACAAAATAACAACCATCCAAACAAGCTAGAGGTAGGAGAAAGGCAAAGTTTGAGGCATGTGGTTACCAGTAAAGTTTATCCGATCCCATCTCATTTTTATTGCTTCAGTTTGCTTAAGGAGTTTCAATTACACTAGATATTTCGGTGAAACAGGCGCAGAATAATAGATATAAATGTCAAAGATTTAACACTACACAAAAATACTAAACGAAAAAAATCCAGCTCAAAATGCATTTCGAAATTTGTAATCACAGTTTAATACAATGGACAGTAGACTCTTGCGAAACAACTGGATCTTTATTAGGGAGAAGGACACCGATTCCCCGTGCTGGAAAGGAATAAACTCTCCTGCAGGCTACAACTTGGGATTATGAACTATGATCCGGCCAAGGTCACCTACTTACCTATGTCACACTTCGCCATCTAGACATAACAAGTACAAAGTACGTGAAAATTTTAAACTAATTCCTACAATTTGAGAATATTGTAAAATGATACATATTTAGAAAGAAAGCAAAAATTCCAGGAAAGATTTATTTTACAACTATGGTGACTGGAAGACGATAAAAGCAGACATCAAACACCAGAGCCATTCATATTCATTCTAACTCTTAGAGTCAGAAATATTAGTATAACCGTTCCCACGCTTGAGCTGGAAGAAAAGAGAAATGAACCAAAACACGTTACATATGAAGTCCGAGTAAGAATAGGAACACACAAAATTCTAAATACACACAATTCAAACATACACACAGAGACAGCTAATGTGCATAAGTTCCAGATTTGGAGAGCCCATATTAACTCACAGAGAGCATGTTTCTGCAAACAAACCAAAACTTCAAAGCAGATATCAAGAAGGGATAATCTATATTGTGAAAAGTTGCCTTTTAGTCCTGCCTAGGTGACATAAGTCTTAATAAAGATAGGCATATTTGTTCTGTTAAGTAGTATACCAACACACAAACCCAAAAAAAGAAGGAACACATAACAACAAACAACTCTTAGAGCAATGTAGATCAGCATTTCTTACTTCTTTAGCCAAGTTCTAGACTAAGTGGCCAACAGTTCTCTTTGAAGAATTCTTCAAACATAGTATGTAGTTTCTTATAGTGACTGGCCAAGTTCTAGATTGCTTCATTCTTCAACACAGCCAACATTATGAATGCAAAATTCCTATTTTTCTTCTAACAAATGTTTGCAGTTATCTGACCTGAGATCTTCATCAACATTTCTCCTAGAAGATCGTTTAAGAACAATATGTAGTTGCCTATTACATCCAGCAGCAATGACTATCACCGTTCTAAAGTGCTGCTTTTTCAATGAATAGACATTTTAAACTTACATATGTTTGATCAGACATAGTTCAGTCGTTCCATTTGTTTTACTTTTACAACCCTTTACTTTCTGTAATTATTCCTATTTGTGAGTCTTGTAACAACTTATGAGGCTCAACATATTACTCATATATTATTAAAACAGGTTAAACCCTATTATATCAGTGTAACTGAAAGTATAAATGCATCTACCTCGCACCCATGCGCCTCGTCATGGGTCTAGAGTCCTTTTGATTAGTGACTACCTCCCTCTACTTTAGAAAATAGACTCCCAAAACCCTGATGTTCTTAATCCCACTTACCTCTTCCCTCTAATTTAAGTTGTCTAAACACCGTATCTTAAAACATAACTCTCCCTTGTTATCAACTATGAACTGTTACTTTATAGTGATCACATTAGTAACTCCACCACCAATGTCACCCTCCTTTTATGAAACAAAATCAACCCTTGTCCTTCTTTTCCAAACACTTCATATTGTAAGCAGCTTTGTCTGCCCTCGCGCTTGCTTGTGTACCAACTCTGTATGAATTTGACTCCATCTCTCAATACTTTGACTGAGGTTCACTTCCACGCCTTGATGTCTCAATCCATTGGGCGATTCAGGAGTGCTTTAGAAACCTAGCCACTGCAGCATTTTCTAAATTGAGGGCTGAAAGGATCCGGAGGACACAAGAAGAGAGAGTTCACGGGGTTATGAGGTTTAAAAGATATTTACAAGACTGGGAAGATGATGAATTCCAAAGGTTGATAGAAGATTCTCTATAAACACTAGAATACACCACTCACTAGATAGAACTAGTGGAGGTGGGGGAAGGAGGAGAAGTGATATGGAGCGTTCTCAGAATGTCATACTACCACAAATTGCTAATCAGGGAGGAATTAGCTTCCCCAATGTATCATTTTGGATTTCGGGAGCGCCTAAAAAGGTGCGGTTCTTTACTTTGTTGGCAGCAAAGGGGCAATCTTGATAAATGAGAACTTGATGGAGAAGGAAGAGAAGATGGATGGAATGTTGCCTCCTTGGCCATCATGTGGGCCCGTGGAAGGAGAGGAATGTGAGAGCTTTTGAGGGAAAAGAGAAAATTTGAGGAATAGCCTTATTCTTATAATGGCATCTTGACTTTGGTTCAACTGTTTCCTTTAACATAGGAGGTTTTGATTAGCTTCTGTATCTTTTTGTTTCCTTTAACTAGCCGCTATTTTAGGAGCTTGTTAGGTTAATATTTTGATGGGATTGCATCAGGGGTCATTCCTTAGCCCGGTTTTATTTTCCTTAGCAATGGACGCATTGACACGATATATACAAGGGGAGGTACCATGGTGTATGTTATTTGCGGATGATATAGTTTTGATGGGTGATGTTAAAGAGAGGCTGAAGGCTTAGACAGTCTCTTGAGTCTAATGGTTTCAAGTTGAGCAGGACCAAGACGGAGTACTTAGAGTGCAAGTTTAATGACGTTACCCAGAAAGCGGACATGGACGTGAGGTTTGATACATAAGTCATCCCCAGGAGAGGAAGTTTCAAGTACCTTGGTCAATAATACTGGGTGATGGGGAGATTGATGAGGATGTCATGCACCGTATTAGAGCAGGATGGATGAAGTGGAGGCTCGTTTCCGGTATCTTGTGTGATAAGAATGTGCTACTGAAACATAAAGGTAAGTTCTACAAAGGTAAGTTCGTAGACCGACTATGTTGTATGAGGCAGAGTGTTGGCCGATCAAAAACTGAAAGTAGCTGAAATGAGGATGTTAAGGTGAATGTGCGGCCATACTAGGTTAGATAAAATTAGGAATGAAGTTATTCGTAATAAGGTGGGAGTGACCCTCGTAGAAGATAAGATGTGGAAGGCTAGGTTGAGATGGTTCGGGCATGTTAAAAGGAGAAGCACAGAAGACCCAATTAGGAGGTGTGAGAGGTTTAGCCTTGGTGGGTATTAGGAGGGGTAGATGTAGGCCAAAGAAGTCTTGGGAAGAGGTGATTAGGCGGGACATGGTGAAGGCTTTTCAACAGCTTAAATCGGGGAAAGGGTAAAACGTCTATCTATCTCTTGTGTCTGACCTTAGCGGTCAAGAAGATGAAAACGGGCACTACTTGGTCATTTCCTGTTTGCTCTAGACAATGGGAAAATTTCCCTTCGGGTGGAAGATATGCAGGTGGGCTGTTAAATAAGATTAAGGTTACTTCTATGTGCTTGACTCGCAAAAGAATACTTTGAGTAATCTACTTCTATAAGTAGATTACTCAAAGTATTCTTTTGCGAGTCAAGCACATAGAAGTAACCTTAATCTTATTTAACTTGGTCTTCTCAGTAGTCAGTAGACTATATCCTGATTAAATGTGCTATTTATTCGTGAATTGGCATATCCCTGGAGCTTACTGAGGACATGACCCTTGATAGGAGGTTGTGGAGGTCGAGGATTAGGGTAGAAGGTTAGTAGGTAGTCGAGCGTTTTCCTTTGTCTTCCTCTGTTCGATAGCATTAGTGTTAGTTTGATATATTTTTATTCTTATATTGCTATTATTACCTAGCATTTAGTTGCTACCTTGGCTTTAGTCTTCTTTTTATCTTCTTGTTGTTACTACTTATTGTCATTGCTTCTTTTCATCTTTTCTTTAGCCGAGGGTCTATCGGAAACAACCTCTCTGCCATGGGTAGGGGTAAGGCTGCGTAGATCTTACCCTCTCCAGACCCCACTTGTGGGAATTTACTGGGTTTGTAGTTGTCGTTGTAAAGTTAATATTTTATCTGATCTTTATGTATCTTGATGTATATCTTTCTGTATCTTTTCTGTTGTAATTATACTCTATATAAAGAGCTCCTTCCTTATTAATAAAACACAGCCTCTTTAATTCATTCTACAGCCTATATGTTTTACGGTATCAGAAGCTTAAAAGAACTCTTGCGAGTCAGATCCTCATTTATTTCCCATCCCTACCCTACCCAAATGGCTCCTACTGTTGTCAACTCCGATGCCACAAACAACACCACTATTGTTCAATTTAACCCTGTCACACAACTTCCCATTAAGCTTGCAAGTAGTCATAATTTTTCCCTTTGGAAAGCTCAGGTATCGATGCTTATGCGTGGGCATGACCTGTATGGCCATCTTGAAGGAACTAACTCTGCCCCTAGTCGAACTATCTCCTCGAACAACAAAAATGTTGCTAACCTCGCGTACCTAACCTGGTTTCGCAAGGATCAACTAATTCAAAATGCAATCCTAGCTTCAGTTGATCCTACACTTGCTGCATCTGTTGCTTCAGCCAACTCTTCAAAGACTGCTTGGGATGTGCTTCACATATCATATGCAAATAATCCCAAACACACATTTTCAGTCTATGTGATCGCTTAGCTCGTCTTGCAAAGGATGCTCCTGTCACTGACTATATGCATCAAGTTCGCTCTCTTTGTGATGAACTTGCTTCAGCTGGTGCTCCTGTTTCCAACGAGGAGCTTACTGTGAAGATCCTCACAGGTCTTGGATCTGATTTCAAAGAATTTTCAGCAACTATTTGGGCACAGGATATACCATCTCATATGAAGAGTTGTATGAGAAGTTACTTGATGATGAACTCTTCTTGAAACATCATGATACACGCGCTTCTCTCTCAAATTCCATTACTGCTGCTGTCGCACAACACTGTACTACAAAATCTCGCAACAACACCAACAATAGGCGTACCAATACAGCAAACAACGATCAACCTGATCGAGACCAACCATGGAAGTCTGGAAAGAACTCTGCTCAGCCTGATAACAATTTGGTTTGCTAACTATATGATCGTCCTGGTCAATCTGCCCCGGTCTGTCGCAACGAGTCCCACAAATATTTTCAGGCTAGGGCCAACTTTGTTGGATGTCAACTACAACAACAAGCACTGTGGATCATCAACACAGGGGCCACCCATCATATTGCCTCTGATGATCAAAGCCTAGCAATTGCTCAAGACTACCACAGGCCTAAGGAAATCACTAATGACATCACCATACTAGTCTCTCAAATGCTGAACACCATACTAGTCTTTCAAATGCTGAACTAAAAGTATCAAATTATCGCTTTATCCTATCTAATATTCTTTGCTCTCCTGCTATAAAAAACAATCACATATCTGTCTCTCAATTTTTCCATGACAATAACACCTCCATGGAATTTTTTCCTTTTTCTTATCTTGTGAAGGATCTGAATTCGGGGGCGCCGTAAGTTCAAGGGTAGAGTAACGGGCGACTGTATGTGTGGCCACCAGATAGCAATCACAGTGCAATGTGGTTGTTCCAATTCAACGGTGGCACTAGCGTTTGGGTCATCCAAATCGTTGCACATTAAACAACATTTTGCATAAGTTTTCCAACTCCTGTTAGTTCTTCAAGAATAAGTTCTGATAGTTCTTCATGTTTGGTTGGCTTAAATGTTTTGGAAAACATTTTCCTCATCAACTCATTTTCCCCCAATTGGAGGAAAATGTTTTCCCTATCAAGAGAAGGGAAAACATTTTCCAAAACTCCTTCTCAAGCTTTCCCACCCTATTCTTTACCCTCACCAACCCACCCCACACCCACCTAACCCCACCCCACGCCCGCCAAAACTACCAGAAACCCAAACCAAATTTTGACCGTAGACCACGCAGACAATACACTCCTATTATTGAACCCATCGGTCAGCTCTATGTAAGACNAAAATTTTACTTTTTTGTAATTTTCAAATTTCTATTTTTTTCCTGCCACCCCCAACCCCCCCTCCCCTGCCCCACCCCAACCCCACCCCCAGGAAAAATAATATTTTTTTTATTATATTTTCAGTTTTACTTTTTTCATCTTTCGGTTTACAAGTTCAAAATTTTACAAGTTCCAAAGTTATGAGTTCGGAAGTTTATGTGTTTCGAAGTTTACGGGTTTAGAAATTATAAAGTTTACGGGTTCGAAATTTCGCGGTTTCGAAAGTTTTGCTGTTCAGAAGTAAATTTGTGGGTTCGTAAGGTTGTTGGTTCGAAAGTTTATGGCTTCATGTTTATTGTATCAAAATTATTTATGAATACTCTTGAGAAAATATTTTCCTTGATTTGCGTACCAAACACCAGAAAATGAATAAGATTACTACTTGTTTTCCAAGAAAACATTTTCTTGGAAAATATTTTCCATGGAAAACATTTTCCTTTATACCAAACACACCCGTAATTCCTGTAATTTTAATAAAAGCCACAAGTTGCCTTTTTCAGTTAATTCTTTGAAGAGTCAACGACCCCTCTAAATAATTTAGAGTGATTTGTAGGGGCCTACACCAATTTTATCCATTGATCAAAAACAACATTATACTTTATTTGTGGTGGATCACTTTTAAAAATATATTTGGCTATACACAACTCTAAACAAGAAGTTTTAGAAGTCTTTAAAACACTACATCCACTCTTAGAAAAACGTTTTCAAACAAAAATTTCTTCTTTTTACACCGATGGAGGAGGTAAAGTTCAAAGCTTAACTTCCTATTTAAAATCACAAGGTATTGAACACTTGATTTCCCCACCATACACTCCACAATGAGCTGCTTTGGTAGAACATTGTCACCGGCATGTTATTGAAACTACAAAAATACTTTTACACCAAGGCTACCCTCTAAATTTTGGAGTCTACACCACTTTAAAAAAATCGGTGCCCATATGAAATTTTATTTAAAGAAGCACCAAATTATGAGTCTATTAAAATTTTTGGGTGTTTATGCTATCCACAGCTTAGACCATATGCCAAAAATATATTAGAACCAAAGTCAACACCCTTTGATATTTAGGTTTTACGGATAAATATTATTCTATCAGTGTTTTGATCATGCCACCTCTAAAATCTATCTTTCCTGGGATGTGGTATTTCTTGAAAATAATTATCCCTTTGCAGATATTTTTCAAAAATATAAGGCAGTGCCGGCTTTAGGGTGAAGCACCTAAAGCATGTGCTTTAGGCCCCCCAAATTTGGGAGGCTTTTATTTTTGGAAAAACAATTACAATACTTTTAAGGCAAACTCTTCCAAGCCGTTTAAATGTGAAAAGATCTATCGAATGAAATAATTACATTCCACTTCTTTTTTTCAATCAGAAAACATGTAAAGTGGTATATTTTACACTATTCACTCTTTTTTGGTTTGTCGAAGAGTTAATCTCTTACACAACATTTATATACTTCTACATTCCCTTTTATTTTTTTCGAGTTCAAGTCTGATAAGCTAGTATTATTCTCTAATGATCATAGCTTAAGAGAACTATTAATAAAATATATTATGCACTTTTGATATTATTGAATTATTGAAGCGGCCAAAACATATTTTGAAATCAAGTCATCAATTTTCTTTGAGTGAGATTCCATTATCTAACTTTCAAGCGTATTTTTGGTTAATGTTATTTTTACTTTACAGTTATATATTATCTTTTTAATCCTTTATTAGAATTTTAATATGTCAATTAGAAAATATGAATTTGATAATTCAAAAACGCAAAAAAGAAAAATAAAATAAAACAATAATACAGTCACCAAAAAGGATTATTAGGAGAAACCGATTATAAGAGTTATTAATTATTTTTCATCAAAATTTTAGGAAAATAATCTTCAAGTAAGAGTGTGTGTGTGTGTGTGTAATATGTGTGTGTGTGTGTATATGTGGTGTTTGGAAAAAAAATAACGCTTAAGGCCTCTAATCAATATTTGGCTTTAGGCCACAAATACTATTGAGCCGCCTTTGTATAAGGATACGAATAAACTCCCAGCATGGGATATAGTAGTTTAAACATTAGTATTAAAAAGGAATATATACTAATATATCTCCTTTAAGTGCAAGTTTTGAATTGCCATCTCCGATTTCCACGCATAAACAGTTGTCGAATGCTCCTCTTTTCCGTATGCGTGCATCTTCACATTCAGGTAATCATCTCTCCTCTTCGTCTTCAAACTCTACTTCATCTCAACCTTCACCACCTGAAACTAACCCTTCTGGACAAGATAAGCGAAATCCATCCTTAATTCCAAACTAACCCACCTCAGCTGCTCCTCAAAGATCCAACCCAGCTACTACCATAACCTACTAATGCCAAAACACCCTCCCTCAACAACTTGCACCAAACCCCGATCAACTCTCGCTCCCGACCAACTCTAATCACCCTTCCCTCGTGACCCAGTGGTCACACAGTCTTAGACTAAGAGTCTCAAACCCAAGCAATTCCATCTCTCAGTTCAATCCCCCCTCCCCCTATATCTAAACCTATAGTCCTATACCAAATACCTTCAAACAAGCCCAATCCTACCCTCATTAGCAAACTACTACGTAGTCAGAATTTGATGCTTTAGTGAGAAACAGGACATGGGATTTAGTACCTAGTGATCTCTTATGGAATGTGGTTGATTGCAGATGGTTGTTTAGGATTAAGCATAAGCCTGATGATTCAACAAGTACAAGGCAAGACTTGTTGCGAAAAGGTTCACTCAGTGACCTGATTTAGATTATCATTCCGGTTTAGTCCGGTAGTTAAACCCACAACTGTTCATTTAGCTCTTGCTATTGCCAATCAACTATCCTGGAAGGCCTTCTTACAAGGAAAGCTTGAAGACGAGGTCTACATGAAGCAGCCTATAGGTTTTGAATCAACTCAACATCATACTCATGTATGTAAGCTTAATAAAGCAATCTATGGTCTGAAACAAGCTCCACGAGCTTGGAAAATCTTCTTACCCTTGGTTATATTAAGTCTCAATCTGATGCATCACTTTTTATTCCAAATTATTTGGACTTACTGTATACATTCTTGTTTATGTGGATGATATCATTGTGACGGGTAACCAACCACAGGGTGTGAAATCCATTATTGATGCTTTGTCTTCGCGGTTCTCCCTTAAAGATTTTGGGTTGCTTCATTACTTTCTTGGCATTGAGGTTACTCACACAACAAATGGTTTTCTCATATCTCGGCATAAGTATGTCAAAGACCTCCAAGATGTTAACATGGCTGAATGCAAACGCGTTCCCACCCCTATGACTTCTACATGTACCTTTGAAACTTCTCCCGATGATTCCACAGTTGATGGTACTCTTTATCATCGAGTCATTGGAAAGCTTCATTATCTATCCTCTACTCGGCCTGAGATTGCCTTTACAGTAAGTAAATTATCTCAACTTATGCATCAACTTGGTGTTTCTCATTGGAGAGCTATCAAGTGTCTTTTGAGTTTTGAGATATCTGTCACACTGCTCATATTGGTATTAAGCTTGCTACTATTGCTCAATTGGTTGCTTATTCAGATTCGGACTGGGCTGGTGATCCACTTGATCGAACCTCTATCACGGGGTATGTTGTTTATCTTGGTGATTCTCCCATCTCATGGTCTTCTAAGAAGCAACGTTCTGTTTCTCGGTCGTCTACTGAGGCCGAATACAGAGGTGTTGCTGCTACAACTTATGAAGCTGTTCGGCTCACCAACTTGCTTCATGAGCTTCACTTTACGCAATCAGATCCTCCTGGGGTTCTCGATGACAACATAAGCACTAGTTAGATCTATGCCAATCCGGCTTTTACAGCGGTATGAAACATGTTGAGATCGATTTTCACTTTGTTCGTCAGCTTGTGCAGTCTAAGGTTCTTGAGGTCCATCATCTTCATTCTGCAGATCAAATTGCAGATATTCATACAAAATCATTGTCCTTTTCTGCAATTTCTGCGTATCTATCCCAAGTTGGGTCTTGTTGACATCGGTCCCACCTTGCGAGGGCGTATAAAGGCCTCTTAACTTTGGTTCAACAGTTTCCTTTAACATAGGAGTTTTGACTGTCTTCTGTATCTTTTTGTTTCCTTTTGTTAGCCGTCACTTTAGGAGTTAGGTTAATAATTTATCTGATCTTCTATATCTATTCTGTTGTAACTCTGCTCTATATAAAGAGCTCCTTCCTCATTAATAAAACATAGCTTCTTTAATTCATTGTGCAGCCTATACGCTTTAATTCTTAGTTTTTTACGCACTCATCTTTCCTTGAAAGTTTAAGTCGGTTAGGCACATGGCCTTGTTCATTCGTTCATGCATGCAAATATAGAGTTATTTACTTATAGGTGCAACTGCACCCGACAACTAATTGTCACAGTTTTTTGGTAGTCCAACTCAGAAGTCTAAATAATTCAAATATTGATTACGGCATCAACAAATAGATTGCAGAAGATCAAGATTAACTTCAAAAGATGCAAGTGTTTATAGTGCCCGAATAGAAAAAAAAGAAAATAAATAAAGAAAACAGGGAATAAGCTTACAGTACAGAGAAGAGGAGAACAACTCTTCTTGAATTAGATGATGCAGTGCGCTTGTATTTCCTCACTCTGTTGCTAGAAGTATCATAGATTTAATCGGCCACCCATTTATCTGTTACATAAAACAAGAAACGCTTGTAAAACGCCTATCACATCGTACAACTAATGCTCAAAAATGAATGTCCTAGGTTGCTGAATGATTTAGGATTGAAGTCACAGGAAATTCCCTAGATACACATGTCATGATATTTCACAATTGAATCAATTAAAAAATTTGAGCGGCTACGATGTTACAAGTTTCTTCCTCTTGACTGAATCTGTAGAGGGTATCGTTCAGGTCTTGAAGTCTGTTGGAGGAAGTCTGTTGGAGCCTTGTCCTTGTAATCAGACTACTTATCATGTCAACCTTGTTGGGGGACACAATGAGAAGTCACACTAGAACTGACTGATCCAAGGATAACAGATTACAAAGTTAATTCAACCAGTGATGATGGTAAAAGCTTGAGAACTTGATTAGCAGTAGAAAATGACGGTACCGTATCGATCTTCAATACCAACATGCACATTTTTAAAGCGAGTGTTCAGGAAAAAGCAAAAAGGATTAAATCCGTACTCCCAGATAAATGAGAATGGAATTGATAAGCAATAAAGCTGTGAGGGCTTTTCCATCAAATGGGGTAGCTGGGATTTATGGTTTAGCCTATTGATTTTGAAGTTCAAATTTAGCTCCCTTTCGGATAATCAATCAACGGGCAAAATATTTGGTGTTCACAGGGGAAAAAAAATTGACGCAATTGGACAACTTCATGCTAATCTAAATACATTAGTTTTGTAAACTTTGCTTTCGTGCCGTTAAGTAAAGGTAAAGATCCTTAAACTTTTATAGCATAAGACAAACCTATGTAATATAACTGGCAACTTCATTTATTGAGTAGTCTTTCCTCTCATCAGACCTGCTATTTTTATAAGCGTCAGAGGTTTGGCAGGTGGAAACAAAGCAGCAATACATAATCTTACTGCTAAGATCTCTCAGAAAATATATATGATATTTCTGCTAAGATATTTCAGATTTATGTGTGAAATGAGGAAAGAAGAGAGATAAACTTTCACTAAAATTAGTGTTGAACAACATACAAAGGGCTACTTATATACAAAGGGGTTTAGATTATGCAATGACATGGTGTTCTATGCGATGATATGACACTGACTGGGAAAACTGGACTTGCTGACTTGACAAGCTGATGTGGAATAATGATGTTAGTCAAAGACAAAAAAAGACCCTCACAAATATGTCACTTCAACAAGATGGAACCCCAAAGAACTTTGGTCAGATGATATGTAATGCCAGCGAACCTGTGATCGGAGAAGAAAAGACCAGTAAAACTACACAAAAGAACCTTAGTCGGACGAGTAGCATAAGGCCACCCTCCAGTGGACGGAAGCTAAGTTGCTCTGACATGGCAGTTTAGGTGCCGCACCCGTGTGTCGACACGACACTAGTATGAGTGTGGGTATGGGTTCCGTACCGGATCTGGTCAAATAATTTTGGGTACTTTGAACACGACGGACGGAAAAATTCGAGACGAGATACAATTTAATTCCCGAATCAGAACCAAAACTAGGGTAAACTTGAAAAAAATAGCATACCTTATCTAGGAAATCAATCATTTACTTAGCTACAACAATAAAAAAAAGTAATCCACACTTCACAAGCTATACGTAAGTATTCCACAAAATTTCTCATAATTTAGATATATTTTCATATTTTTATTGTTTTGAACTTTTAGCCGGATCTCTGCACCGGAATCCGTACTAGGATGCGTATCCCTGAATTTTAGAATTTACATCTCGAAGGATCCACCTGAAGATCCGCACCCGTGTAGGACACCCGCATCCATGTCCGAGCAACTTAGGATGGAAGCTACTTTGATCTCATTCTAATACCATGTGAAACAAAGGGGGGAAACTCTTACTGAATTGGTGAGAAATAACGTGTAGAGGGCTTCTAAGACACGGGTTTAGATTACACGAAATGAAATAAGAAAACCTCAAGCAACATCAAATAAGAAAAGTTTGCTAATTACCAAGATTTCTAATTATGACACAATTATTAAGAAAATATATAATATTATACACTATGAAACCTAGACTTAATAAAACTATATTAGTTTTCTTGACTTTTAAGGGTATGAATACCAGTTTTACGATAATGCTATCCAATGTTGATACTATTCATTAGAATAACTACAGCTCTAGTTACGAATTTAGATAGCTCTTCTTTCCAATAGGAACAGTCTTTTTATCTATCTGAAGCATTTGCAGATCATCTAGTTAGGCAGGGAGGGAAGAATTGGAAGATGTAGGAAGGTTCGCTGGCAGATTTAGCTTATTAGAAGCATTCATTGATTTAGTTAATTTGGCAAAAGATGATTTTGAACATGTCAGTGAGGAAAATGACAATGGAGCACGTCAAAGTAAACTCGCAAAACAGGCATCACATTGGTTGATAAAATGATATCTACCTTTAATAGTGAACTTGGGTAACTCAAAGTTGTGATTCATTAGGAACTGGATGAGCTTTCCTCCCATCTGCGATGTTATTTCTTTCTGCAACATTATCTGAATAGCAAACAATATGTTACTTGTTTCAGATTACAGTCTCAAGATCCAAAATCAGATAACACAGTCATGTCATAAATCAGGCACTGTAATTGGCAATATATCCTAGTAAACATAGAAAAAGCATCCCCTGCAGTAATGCCAAAATGTAAAATTACAAACTTACAGCTAAAGAATCCTCAGTTATCACATTTCCTCCCATTTCTTCAGTGGATTGAAGAGCCTCGGGCTTTCCTTTCTCAATATCTATATTCAAAATATATGTGGAATAAACATCTGCGCTATCATTCTTTAGGTTATCGTTGTTTTGGAAACTTGATAGGGCATCCATAGAAAACGGAATTTTCACAGAACTTGGACTTGAAAGACTAAGCAAATTTATATATGATTCACAGGGTGCCGTGATGACTCCTTTATCAGATAATACAGCAGCATTCGTTGTTTCTTGGCTCTGCCGAAATAGAAAGAACAACTAAGACATTACTACATAATTCAAAGAACTCGAATAAAACAGAAAAGCAGAGAGAATGATAAGCTAGAATCTAACAAGCGAGCCCTAAATAGTAAATATTATGGAACAAAATGGGGAAAATTTTCTGCTGAAGCCGAAAAGAACTCATTAAATTCCAGCTTTACAATAATACTCCCTCTGTCCAAATTTTTGTGAGATTTGTTCCTTTTTAGTTTGTGCCGAAAATAATGACACATTTCTATTTTTTGTATTAGAAATATTAAACTTATCATTTTAACTTAATGAGAGGATCTATAATCACACAAATATCTTATGTCTAAGGCATGGTTTAGACCACAAGTTTCAAAAGTCTTTCTTTCTTTCTTAAATTTTGTATCTAGTCAAACGCCAGTAGCAAATAAGTTGATCAATACACACAAAAAGAGACACATCCACAAAAATGGAGTACATAATTTACTACTGAACTAAACGAAATATTGCAACAAGATAATGCCATAATCACAGTTCAGCATAATGCAGCTAAAATTAGAGAAGAAAAACTTGAAAAACAGCTTAATTTAAACCCAAATGGAAAGTGTCAGTCATTTAGAGAAATGTCACCTCTTGGCTAAAATTGACCACCATTGTAGAGAAAATCTCAAAGATTTTCGAGAGCTCTATTTTCTCATCTGCAATGAGGTGTTGTATGCGTGAACCTATAATATGGTGGTACAAAAGTGCGTCCCTCTGTGAGTGTGTGTGTAAGTACAGAAAAAGAGAAAAGGAAAGAGAGTGGATGTAGAATCTTACATACATAGGAGAAGGGATATATATATATATATATATATATATATATATATATATATATATATATATATATATATATATATAAGAGGAGGGTAATTTGCCAGGAAAGCTCCTGATGGCGACATTGATGACCATGACAAACATCTCTGCAACTTTTGATCCTCTGTGCTTGTGGACCAAAATAACCTTCTGACTTCCATTTATTGTGTGTTCATTCAATTTAAAACTTTACTCGCCAGTTGTCTCGCCTTTTAGGTCCTACCCAGTTGGAGTTCATTTAACTCAGTAACTAGTTTTAGATCACATGTGTGCATGCATCACGTTAATCAATACATAAAATATATATAAATTATTCAAAAATAGCAATGGAGGTAACCAAAAGCAATATATTTAAATGATAAAAATAAATATTAGTACATTGATACGTTGAGTTCAACATTTTCTGAATGAATTTAGTGTAATTAATTAGTTTTATATTATTTATACTTATAAATAATTTATTATATAACATACAAATATGCTATGTTGTTCTATATCATCTAGCATCTCTTTGTAAACTCTACGTTCATAATGTCATTATACAAACAAAAAAAAAAATTCTAAACTCTACCAACTCAATTATAAATTATAGACAAGCCAAATGAACCTCTTCTTGTGTAAAAAAGTTGCATGGATTCTTATTGATTTAAGTTTAAATTCCCTTCTTTGCATGTTTATCCAATACCAAATAAAAGTTAATACTATCCCAAACTCACTCCGAATGCACTCTGTTAATAACTATATTGAAATCATAAGAGTTCACAATGTTGAGGTCAATTTTTCAAAATTATCGTGGGAAAATGACAAATTTATAGCTATTTCAAGAGTTCCAAATATATTAGTTTATCTTAAGCTTAAAAAATTAATTGTAATTACAAATTCACATAGTATGGATGTGGCTTAATTTATTTCTAAAATAACACCAGATTAGTTCAAACTTTTAGAAATTTAAAGTCCAGATTAAATCAAAACTCTTAATAATTTAACAGAAAAAAGGCGAACATGCATTGCTAATGGATGTTTCATATTTTTAGGTAATGAATTGTTCGTAATTTGGAGAAAGAAATACTATTATATACCTTAGAGGCGAAGAATTAGAAAAAACTTTAATGGCCACGTACTAAACTCCAAAAGGATATTTATAAAAATCGATCAAATAAGAAAAAAAATCTAATAAGGTAAATTTTAATTGAATTTGAAGTCCTAAATATTAGGATCTTATTAAGTAAAATTTTAGTTTATTTTGGTCCTAATTAGGAAAATAATTAAATGACTATTTTGTCTGGTGTAAAAATAACTTTTAAAGGATAAAAAAGGCAAATAACATTTCGATAGGGGCTTCGTGCTTTTAATATATATATATATATATATATATATATATATATATATATATATATATATATATATATATATATATATGGATCTGTACTTAAACTACTATAATTTAATTGTTATTCTTGTACTATACTTGATTTTGCTCTACTCTTTGATTCTTTCGTCGAAGGTCTTTTTATGGAATAAATACATGTATCTCAAATTTTATGTCAACTTGAAAAATAATTTTACTTATGTGATGAATTTGGAGCAGAATGAATCTGAATTATTATGCTAATTGGCTAATTCAAATAAGTAATTGTTATAACCCGACCGGTCGTTTTACTTTCTAGAACCTTGTTCCCCTAAATAAGACTTCTCGTACGTCTTTTTACTGTTTTATGACTTGCGGGGATGGTTAGTTCGGGATTTGAAAGGGTTCGGGTTGAATTCGAGACATTTGGTTCCTTAAAGTTGGCTTAAAATGCCAAGTTTAACTTCGATCAACATTTTGAGCAAACGACCTCGGAATGGGGATTTGATGGTTCCAATAGGTTCGTTTGATGATTTCGAACTTGGAAGTATGTTCGGATCGAGTTTTGGATGACCTGGGAGCGTTTTGGCGCCTAATACTGAAAGTTGGTTCTTGAAGGATTTTGAAGTTCTTTAAATTTGGTTTGGAGCGGGTTTTGGTGATATCGAGGTCCGAATGGAATTTTGAGACCGTGAATAGTTCTGTGTGGTGATTTAAGACTTGCATGCAAAATTTGGTGTCATTCAGAGTAGTCTAAGTATGATTCGACGCATTCGGAGCAATTTGGAAAACTTGAAGTTCATATGTTGATTCAAATTGGTTTTAGGGTGTGATTCTTAGTTTGATTGATGATTTTCGAGTTTCGAGAGTTCGAACAGTTCTGCATCATGTTTTCAGACTTTTTGGTTCCTTTGGACGGGGTCCCGAGTGGCTCGGGTGAGTTTTGGACCCCTAGAAGCAAAGTTTGAAAAACCAAAAATACCAGTTCTGGTTTCCTTCTTTGCGAACGCAGAGGGAACCTCGCGCTCGCATAGAAGGAATTGGGACTGGGGGGATTTGGTGAAATGCGTTCGCGATAGCTATTCCACAATCGCGAAGTTCTGGGACCGGTGACCTCCGCGTTCGTGTGAGGCGACTCGTGTTCGCGTAGAAGAGCCTGGGCTGGGCTGGGCCGCTGATTGTTCCTCGCGTTCGCAAGGGTAGGCCAAGCCAGCCTCCGCGTTGGCGATGCCTTGGTCTCGTTCGCGATATGTTGTCTCTAGGGAGCCTGAGCCATTTTCCTTCACGAATGCGAGGCCCCTTCCGCATTCGCGATGAAGGAGGCAGCTGGGCAGTGAGTTTAAAAAACGGGACTTAGGCATTTTTGGGGTCATTTATTGTACTCTTGGGCGATTTGAGAGCTCTTAAGGAGGGGATTTTGACCTAGCTTTTTGAAGGTAAGTAATTTTTACCTAATGTAAGTTTAATACACAATTTATGGGTAGATTATAACATGCAAATTAGTGAAAATCATGGGTTAAGATGAAAACCTAGGTTTTGGATAAAAATGGGATTTTACCACGAAGATGATTGTGGAACTTAGTGGAAATCATATATTTATGTTCCTAAGGTTATTGGTAACAACTTCCTTCGAATATTTCAGGAATCGGGCACGTGGGCTCGGGGGTGAATTTTAGGAATCTTGCATTTAGGGTTGGGTAATCACTTTAATAGTTGGGATATGAACTTTTAAGCATAAATTGACTTATTTATATCATATTTGACTAGTTTCGACTCGTTTGGCATCAAATTTGGAGGTTTGAGTGCAATCTTGAATTGGGAAGTAGGCTATGAGACGAGATAAATCTATTTTCTAACCTTGTAAGAGGGAATTTACCCCATAGGTAAACTAAATTAATATGTCTTGTTATTTGTGGGGGCTACGTATGTACGAAGTGACGAAAGTACGTACGTAGCTACTATTCCTGTTATGTCTGGATAGTTTTAGGCTTACACCATGCTTTGTGGACACCGCTATTTGATTATATTTGTTAATTGTGTCGAATAGAATTAAGTTGAAGATTTTAAAAGCTTCAAGTTGATTTTCCTTTATTTGAAAAGAACCGAGAAAGGTTATGATTTATTGATAAATTTATATTTGACCGCGTCGCAAATATATTCCGCGAGCGGAGTGATTCTTTTCACTACTCTCATGGGAGTGGGTCGTTCGCCTCGGCAGGTTAATAGATGCATCTATGGTTCGTGCCTTCGACCCTCGGCAGTGCATATTTTATTTTTATGTTGGATCGGGCCGTACGTCCTCGGCAGAATTCGTGCGTAATAATAGGACTGGAAGTCCCTTTCATAATTGATAGTAATTCATTGTTTGAGAGATCTTTGTTTTAAATGAGGGAAATTATTCGATTCTTAAATATGGTAAAAGGATTGTTTAGATATCTCTTACTATGATTTTTATTGTCATCTCTATATATCATGTTTTAACTAGAATGTCATATTATTATATTGTTGGCCCTTAGTAAGTGTCGGAGTCAATCCCTAGCCACTACTTCTTCGAAGTTAGACTAGATACTTACTGGGTACATATTATTTATGTACTCACGCTACACTTTTGTACTTAATTGTACGGGATATGAGGCAAGTGCATCTGGTTACCAGTCCGGCGCACAGATTTGATCCCCATCTCGAGACTTCACGGTGAGCTGCCTTCTAAGCTAAGGGTGACAAGTGGGCTGGTCCAGGCCCGGGATCGCGGCCCATGTGGGCTTCTAGGCCTAAACGATTCTTAACCGGATAACCGTGGAGGTGGGCTGGTCTTCTAGGCCGGTGCTTCACATTGAGCCCGCGAGATCGAGACCGTTTGAGGCTCGGGATTGGACCGGTCCTTGGCGGGCCTAAACGGTCCCAAATGGTCCCAACGGTCATAATTAAAAAAAAATTTGACCGTTTGGGATTGCAAAAATCTGGCCGTTGCCCTTTAAAAAATAATCGTTGGCTATTTATAAAATAGCCATTTACCCCCCCCCCCCCCAACTTTGTTTTAACCCTAAACTTTTTATAATTACACCTTTTTCCTTTTATCAACTGCAAATACCCTCTCATTCTTGCATTTTTCTCATAAAATCCTCAATCTCTCTCTAATTTTCTTCTATAATTGCTACTATTGCTTACTTTATTGTTACAATTTGTGAAAAAGTTGTGAAGTTGGCGAATTGAAGTCTTCAAGTCTTCAACGATAATCAATTTTCAACAAGTTGTTCGTCAATTCGGTAAACTCGTTCTAACTCATAATTTTTAATATTATATTTTTGCTTGTTTTATTTATTTTCTATTTTTGATTAGTTACGATGGCTTCCTTAAAAAAACTTTTTGGTGAAATTAAAAAAATCCAAGAGTGGCGAATCTAGTAGCCAATCTGTTCCTCCTCCACTGCCCCCGACTCCCCGACCCAAATCCCATATCCGTCCTATGATAAGTTAGGATTTTAACATGATTATACCCCTACTTACTATTGCTTTTGTTATGAAATTGCCATAAAATAGTCCCAAAATGCTTACAAGTTGCGGTTGATTGCAGGTTTGAGCGACAAGATGACAAATGTCAAAGATCGGCTCAAAACCGAGTGAA